AGAGGACAAGAGAGAACGCCACATAGCCTGATCACTTGAGCCAAATCCTGTAGCCGGCGGGAGCACAGTGCATTTGAAGGAGAGCCGAAAGGGAGGGAGGAAGGGAGCTGAAGCCTGTGACCTGAGGAACCGAGGGGTGAAGCCGAGGGGTGGACAGAGAGAGGCTGTACGCTAACTGCCACTTAAACAAGGAGTTGACAAGATCATTCTGACTTGATCACTTGAGACTCCATAGCAAACACCCCGCCCTCTCTCAGGTATTGCATGTCCCCTCTGTGCCTGGCACAGGGTGGAGGACGCAAAGCTGCAGTGCCTATCGTTCAGAACTTGGCCTCTGCCATCCAGCAGACCTGGTGCAGATGCGGGTTCTAGTGCCTCTAAGCCATGCGACCTTGGGCAAGCCATTTAAATACTCTGAGCCTGTTTCTCGGTCTAGAAAACAGAACCACTAATACCTGCCATCAGAGGCTGTTGCCGGGAATTCACACAATCATGTTTTCTTGAGTGCTTGGCATGGGTCTGGCAGGCCCTTGGTAAGAGGTTTAATTAGTCCATGTATTTAGTTAACAAATGTTTCACAACTACTGGCACCTCTCTACGTGCCACAGGCTATGCAAGTTGCCAGAACGATTGTGAATAAGCAAAGCTCCTAGAGCTTATATTCTAAAGGGGTGAAAAATAAACAAGCATGTAAGATAATTTCAGGTAATGATGAGGACTGTGACTAATTAATTAATTGTAGTATGGGGGAAAAGAAGATAGGGAGGGGACAAATTTAGATCAAGTGGCCACAGAAGTCCTGTTGGCAGAGGGAACATTTGACTAGAGATCTGAATGTATGATCTTAAAAAAAAAAAAAAAAAGGACCAGCCAAGGAAAGATCTAGAATAAACATTTTCCTAGCACAAGGAATAGCCAGCGCATAGGCCCTGGGGCAGGAGTGACTGGTCATCACCAAAGACCAGCAAGCAGACCAGTGTGGCTGGAACAGAGCTGGCAAGGGGGAAAATGCTCCCGCTAAGAAGAAAAATACTGGTTGGTTGGCCGAGGCGGGTAGATCACTTGAGGTCAGGAGTTCAAGACCAGCCTGGCAACATGGCAAAACCCCGTCTCTACCAAAAATACAAAAATTCGCCAGGTGTGATGGTGCACACCTGTAATCCCAGCTGCTTGGGAGGCTGAGGCAGGAGAATGGCTGGATCCCAGGAGGCGGAGGCTGCAACAAGCTGAGGTCACGCCATTGCACTCCAGCCTGGACAACAGAGCGAAAATAAAAAAAAAAAAAAAAAAAAGAATGCAAATATTGACAATGCCCTTTCTTGCAAACTGCTGTACACCTCTCGATGTAGAAATAAGAAATCTGAATGGGTTTCCATCTTTAGGCGGCTTGCTTAGCTTCCGATAAACAACTTAAGACACAAGCGCTTAAGCTGTCACTTGCCCGGTGCTACAAGGTTCCACCCCTATCCTCTGAGAAAATGCGCTCTAAGGATGGGAAGACTGTGACAGACAAGACAATAGCGGAAGAGGGAACAGCAGATTGTTAAGTGTTTGTGGTGCTTAGGAGAGAGCAGAGGGTAATTTGGGGGAGCAATCGGGGAAGACTTCAAGGAGGAAGGGACACTAGGGCTGGGCTTTGAAGGATGAAGGCAGTGACTGGGAAGAGAAAGACAAGAACTGTGAAGGGAAAGGTGGAGAGGTGGACTGAGGGGATGACCCAGGGACGACAGGGGCCTCGGTCTGTGAATGGCGCTGTCCTGGCCTCTGCAGATGGAGTACTTCGGCACCATCGGCATCGGAACCCCTGCCCAGGAATTCACCGTCATCTTTGACACCGGCTCCTCCAACCTGTGGGTGCCCTCTGTCTACTGCTCCAGTCCTGCCTGCAGTAAGTGCTCAGCCTGCCCTGCCCCACCCTTGCTCCCCAGCACCAGCTGAACCTGGGGAACCCTGGACACCCAGGGGCTTCAAACAGCTCCCACCTCAAGCCTGCTGGAGCCACTCACAGGCATTTATTGAGCACCTACTATGTGCCGAGCACTGGGCAGGCTCTGGTGCTCCAGGGGGTCAAGAGATGAGTGATAGGACCCCTGCTGTCAAGGACTTCACAGTCTGAGGACAGAGGGAAGCTATCCTGAATAACCACTGCCTAGGAGAGGCCATGTGGGGTGCCCAAAGCAAGACAGGGCCAAAGGACCACAGAATAGCCCACCAGGAAAGGGTCCTGTGTGAGAAAATGGCTTCAAAGCCTGGCTAGGACGCGCTAGAAGTGAACACTGAGTTCATTAAAAAAAAAAAAAAAACTAGAGCTTCGGTGGCTCAGGCCAGTTGTCCTGGTGATAAGGAGGCGAGGCTAGGCATTGGAGACCAGCCTGGGGAACAGAGAAACCTCTCATCCATTTAAAAAAAAAAAAGAATTATGGCTAGGTACGTGTAATCCCAGCACTTTGGGAGGCTGAGGTGGGCAGGTTGCCTGAGGTCGGGAGTTCGAGATCAGCCTGACCAACATGGAGAAACCCTGTCTCTACTAAAATACAAAATTAGCCAGGTGTGGTGGCGAATGCCTGTAATCCCAGTTACCTGGGAGGCTGAGGCAGGAGAATCACTTGAGCCAGGGAGATGGAGGTTGTGGTGAGCCAAGATCACACCATTGCACTCCATCCTGGGCAACAAGAGTGAAACTCCATCTCAAAAAAAAAAATCGTTGGTTTGCTAATGAAACAGTTTGTCTTAGAAGTCAAGAACAGTGTGCGTTGCAGGTTCCTTCCTATTCTAGTGTTTTAACATGAGTTTTAATTAAGAGGTGGTGCCTTTGGCATCGTCCACATCATAACAGGAGCACTGGCCAGGGGGTGGGGGGTGAAGGTGCTGATCACTGGGCAGCCATGGGCCTGCTCAATGTTGGCCTGGAGGGTCCCCCGGGGGCCCTTAGGATTGGCTGGGACCTGCCATCAGTGAATAGTCCCAGCAGTTCAACAAGACAGGACAGAAGCTGGGGTCTCTTGGGCTCCAAGGGTGTAGGGGAAAGGTCACTGCTCCCCTCTGGAGCCCCTCCCAGGGGAAGACATCCCATCTCGGGAAGACATCCCAGCCATGACCCTCGCCCATCTCTCGGAGACTGATAATCACTCTTGCCCTTGCAGCCAACCACAACCGCTTCAACCCTCAGGAGTCCTCCACCTACCAGGCCACCAGCCAGACAGTCTCCATCGCTTACGGCACCGGCAGCATGACAGGCATCCTCGGATATGACACTGTGCAGGTGGGCACCCGCAGGCTGCCGCTGCATCCCACCGTCAGACACCCCCACATAAGCTTATTCCAGCAAGATGAGTCTCAGTGATCACAAAAGTTACCTATGTAGGGGGGCACGGTGGGGGAGAAGCAGCTGAGACGTAGCAGGCATTGCTAGCTGGGGTGGCAGTGAGTAAAAGGGTGGGGTGCCTGGAGCCAGAAGCCACCCAAGCAGAATGTTATGGAGGGGTGCTCAGTTCTCTGCTAGCACCTCCTCCTTTTCCTCCTTCCCCTGACCTGCAGCCCCCCTAAGTCACGAAATCTCCGCTTGCCCTCTCTGCTACTTTTGGGGCACGGCAGGAGTCAAAGGCCCTGATTTGCCTGGGGTCTGCTTTGCATTTGCTCATCAGAAACAAACATACAGCAACCGTCTGTTCTCCAACAAAATCTCACACTGAGTCACAGACTGTGGCCATCTGGAGATCAGCTGCCATGGTTACCTCCAGCGGAGGAACAAGCCTTCCAGGAGACAGTCCCTCTCCCCTCCTTCCAGCCTGATATCCCGGAAGCCAAGTCCTGCACCAGCTGAACCAGGGTGGCTCTGGGCCCGAGGGTGGTGCTCAGAGCTCAGTGAACATGAGCTGATGATGACCATCATCTTCGTTCCCCCACTCAGGTTGGCGGCATCGCTGACACCAATCAGATCTTCGGCCTGAGCGAGACCGAGCCCGGCTCCTTCCTGTATTACTCTCCCTTCGATGGTATCCTGGGGCTGGCCTACCCCAGCATTTCCTCCTCTGGGGCCACACCCGTCTTTGACAACATTTGGAACCAGGGCCTGGTTTCCCAGGATCTCTTCGCTGTCTACCTGAGCGCGTAAGTTGGATAGAGAGGGGCCCCCTCCCACCTCCCCTCCAGAGGTCACAGTGTTCCGGCCCAGCCAGGAGCTGTCCAAGGCTGGCTGGGATGGAGAGGGTCCTGGGAAGCAAGGGATTTGCAAAGTTGGCATCTGACGCTGGAGAAATGTGTCTTTGGAGAGTAACAGTGCCAAGTCTCTCTCTGACGGACCACGTGCACTCTTATTTTACCAGCATCTCTGCCCCCTTGATGTGCACAACTCAAATGTTATTAGCCATTTGCCCCCCAGTGCCAGTTCTGTCATCCTTGGCCCCCAAAGATGCCATTTAAAGTGAATACACTCAGTGTGGCTCACGCCTGTAATCCCAGCACTTTGAGAGGCTGAGGCGGGAGGATCACCTGAGGTCAAGACCAGCCTGGCCAACATGGCAAAATCCTGTCTCTACTAAAAAATACAAAAATTAGCGAGGCATGGTGGCAGGCATTTGTAATCCCAGCTACTCAGGAGGCTGAGGCAATGAGAGTCACTTAAGCCTGGGAGGCAGAGGTTGCAGTGAGCCGAGATTACACCACTGCACTCCAGCCTGGGCAACAGAGTGAGACTCCGTCTCAAAATAAATAAATAAAGTGAATACACTTAAAACAGACCAGAATTCCATAGCACAAAAATGAAAAGATTTGATCAAGACATATCGTGAATGATGACATTTTTAAATCATGAAAGCATGTTTCTTTTATGATTTAACAAAATCTCGGTTCCAGTTGTGACTATTAGTTAATTCGAGGAAGGAGCAAAGAATAAATGAACAAACACACAAATGAACAAAGAATACATCCAATGTCAGTTCTGGCTGAGTAGAGTTTTATGCAAGAATATCTGAGGGCATCATCAACTTTCATAAGACGCTCAAATTTCCTCTAACAATCACGTACGTCCTCCTCTTTTGAAATAGTTCACGAGGGTTTGCCATCATTTGCGTTTCCTCGGTGGGTAACTGTGCGTCTAGGTCCTCACTGTATTGTATTGCACTGTGAGATGTTTGCAGCAAAGGTGGGGTGGGTTCAGTGAGTAGGGTCATGTTTTATAAATGGCCAGTTCTCGGATGATTAATTTCTTGTTGCCGTCTACATTTGCTTCTGCATCTAACCTGAAACTGCAGAGATTTCGAAAATGAATACTGCGATAACAAGGACCCCTGCAATTTACAACAGGAAGGCTCTTTGACATTTATTCCTCTTGGCCAGTTAATGTTAAAGGTGGCTTTTAAACATAATCTGCCTTAAATATTTTGGCAGGGCACAGTGGTTCACACCTGTAATCCCAGCACTTTGGGAGGCCAAGGCAGGCAGATCACGAGGTCAAGAGATCGAGACCATCTTGGCCAACATGGTGAAACCCCATCTCTACTAAAAATACAAAAATTAGCTGGGCGTGGTGCCACATGCCTGTAATCCCAGCTACTCGGGAGGCCTGAGGCAAGAGAATCGCTTGAACCCAGGAGGCAGGGGTTGCAGTGAGCTGAGATCGCACCCCTGCACTCCAGCCTGGTGACAAAGCGAGACTCTGTCTCAAAAAAAAAAGAAAAAAATATTTCATGTGGGACCATTGTATCTCTTCAGCTAGCTCAGAGTTTCTCAGTCTGGGCACTATTAACATTTCAGACCAGCGTAAGTCCTTGCCGCCAGGGGCTGTCCCATGCATTGAGGATGTTTGGCAGCATCCCCAGCCTATACCCATTTGATGCCAGTAGCATCCCCTACCCCCACCCGGTCATGACAATCCAAAATGTCTCTGGACATTCCCCTGGGGGCAAAACCGCTCCCAGCCAAGAACCAGTTATCTTCACCATCAAGTCCTTAAGAGCCGACACTGTCACATGTATTCACTTCCCGGGGGTCCCCATGGCAACTAGAGTGAGCACCATGGTGGAAACCACACACTTTGGAACCCAAGAGATCTGCGTTCTTCCAAACTTAGTTCCACCACTCCTCAGCTGTGTGATCTTCGGCAGGTGACCTCACCTCTCTCTGGCTCAGTGTCCTCCTGGTAAGTGGAAATAACAGTGACAGTGCCCACTGCATGGGCCCTGGCCTAAGAAGAAATGAAACCACGTTTGTCACACCCCAGCACAGCCCTGGCAAGCGCCCAACCAAGGGTAACTCTGAGGATGCAACAGCACATGTTGAGACAAATGAACAAACAAAAGAATTCATATCTTCTCCCCTCACTTTCCGTAGCAATGACCAGAGCGGCAGCGTGGTGATGTTTGGTGGCATCGACTCCTCTTACTACACCGGAAGTCTGAACTGGGTGCCTCTTTCTGCCGAGGGTTACTGGCAGATCACCGTGGACAGGTGAGACCACCATGGACAGGCAGCATCCAGGCCTGGGCCCCAAATCCCATCTCCTTATGGATTAATAGCTAACCAGATTCCCAGAATCCCCCCCAGAAACAGCTGGCACAGGGGAACCCACTCCAGGGGAAGGTGGAAGTTGGACAAGACAGAGAGACCCCTAGAAAGACACCTCCCTGGGGGAGGAGGGAAGGGCTGTCTGGGAAACCGAGACTCTGCAAGGGTGAAACAGCCACTGTCCTCGTAGTCACAGAGGCAGGACAACACACCAGCATCCCTGGGGAGAGCTGGGGGACCCTCCTGTCCACACAGCTCACAATTTAAGGAGCCTATGAACCAGCACATGCTCCTCCTACTTGAGGAAAAATGCCACCTTCAATCTAGAAGGAGGGCAAAATGGCTAAGAAATTGTGTGGTCATTTCGTTCCACCCTGCTCTTCAGGGCCTCCCTGGTTCCCCTGGCAGCCTCATTTCCGTGCTGTTCTTGCCCCAGCTCGCTAGCCAATTGTGCGGGTTTTCCCAAGAGTGAACAATTTCCTGGGACAAAGACTTTTAGTACTAAAACTGGGACCATCCCAGGCAAACCAGGACACATTGGTTACCTCATGTCTGCCCAGCCATGCTAGAATGTCACCTGTTATGTATGAAATTTTTCTTTTTGGTGTTGCAAAGAAAAATTAGTACTGGGACAAAGGATCTCTCAGCAAAGCAATTCTTTTTACTTCCTGCAGAAACGGTACTCCCGCTAGCAATCTTGCCATGGGAGTACAAGAAAGGAAAGCAGACGTATTTATTTCTTATGCATTTGGGGTTAACTGCTGTGTCTGATGTCCATTGGCTGGAGCCAGACCTCACAATCTAAGCTAAAACCCGATTGGCTAATAACTTGAAACTTTTCTAAACAGGTAAAAGCAATGCAGAGCAAAAAACAAGGAAGTCAAAATAAGGAAGAGGCATAGGGTGAGCTGGGACGCGCCGGTGAGCACGTCCAGCACAGACATCTTGGTTAAAGTACAAGGACATAGAATGTACTACATGCCCCTAAGCACGTCTAATGGCTACATAGGATAGGGCTTCTAGCAAAAAGGCAAGAAGGCTCTTGAAGAAAGTGTTTTAAACAAACTATTATTTCTAACACTTATGAATGTTTCTTATACAAGAAAGGAAACTTTAAAGAGGAGCTTTTCTACTTCCTCCAACTCCTGCCCCAGCCCTCTGGTCTCCGTCCCTCTCCAAATGTCGTCTGCTCTGCCGGTGATGTCCACCTTCTCTCTTCACCTGCCTGGAAACCCCGGCTGTCTGCTCCCCTCCATCGCCTCTCACCCTGGACCCTGTTTCTGTTCCCTGCCGCCTGCCCAGCTCATCATCCTGCCCTTCTGCCAACATAACTCATCTTGCCAGCTAGGCTGGGGGCTCCCTGCAGCCTAGAACTGTGAGGTGTCTTGTTTAGCTTTGCATTTCCCATGTCTGGCACAGAGTAGGCACTTGGGAAGTATTTGTTGGGTAAATGGATGCAGGATGAATGAGTGCACGAATGAGAGGAACAGAAATTTCCCGCACTGGCCAATGGCTGGGTCGGGAAGGAACGTCTGGGGTCACCTGGTTCCTCCTTGGAGAGACGTACCCCTGAGGGTTCAGGGGCCTTCACGTGCGTCTTGCCCTCAGCATCACCATGAACGGAGAGGCCATCGCCTGCGCCGAGGGCTGCCAGGCCATTGTCGACACTGGCACCTCTCTGCTGTCCGGCCCAACCAGCCCCATCGCCAACATCCAGAGCTACATCGGAGCCACTGAGAACTCAAATGGCGAGGTGAGTCCAGCCCCAACTGCTGTGTTCTACACTCAAGTAGTGGGTGTGCCAGGCAGAAGGGACGGAAACCCTACTAACTTTTCACACCCTCCCTCCTTCCAGATGGTGGTCAGCTGCTCAGCCATCAGCAGCCTGCCTGACATCGTCTTCACCATCAATGGCATCCAGTACCCTGTGCCAGCCAGTGCCTACATCCTGCAGGTGAGGGGGCTCTGGACCACCCACTAGAGGGGCCCACACAGAATGTGGCCACAGAGTCCCCCTCTGCAGAGGGAAAATGCACCTCCACGAGCTGAAGTCAAGAGGCAGAGGCAGACTAACATCTGCCCTAGACACCTCCAGAGAAAAAGAATATATTAAAAGCAAATGCAGGAATAAGAATTTGGATACAGCCCCCTAAGGGAACAAGTGAAGCAAAGGTTATTGGAGTGAAAAGATTTGGACCCCTGGGTCCAAGTCCTGGGTCTGAATTACTACCCCATTGATTCTGAGCAAGCTACAACTCATCTCAGCCTCGGTTTTCTCATCTAAAAAGTAGAGACGGCAGCTTTCCCCACCCTCAGTGCAAGGTTGGGTTAACCAAGTGAAACTGATCACATCAGAGACAGCAGGGGCTGGGCAAATGGAAAGCCTAATTTCCGTAGGCTGGGGCTTCTGACACTCCTAGCGTCTCTACCAAGGAGCAAATCTTTAGCTATACGAACCACAAGAAAACTCCTTGCCATCTATTATTATATGTCAGGTGGAAAACTAATTTTGCTAGTGAATTGATGTGATTCAACAAGAAGCACTGAGGCCTGAGCCCCCCAGGGATTCTGATCACATTAGGAGAAGGTGAGGCCTGAGCCATGGAGTGGGAGCTGCAGAGGTTCAGCTCCCCAGGTGATTCTAATATGCAGCCAAGGCTGCAGCCCAGTGACCCAGTGAGGCAAAAGGGATAAAGGCTCATCCCAATTGCCCCTGGATGGGATCAGAACAATCATGAGAAAAGGCTGTGTCGGCAGGGTTTTCAAACTCCTTCCTAGCAGCTGAATGCTCCCCAAGCCTCTTAACTCTGAGGATGTCAGGGTCTGGGTGCCTGCCAGAAGCTCCAGATAATGTCCAGTAATCCGTGGAAGGCAATCGTGCTGTGAACAGCTTCTGCAGGCAGACTCCAGGCTAAGGACAGCTGAGTCCCTGGACACAGCCAGGAAGCTCCTCCTTGCACGTATCTTGCAGCTGGACCAGGGTGCCCTGGATGCTTATCACCCAGAGCCTGGCACTGCTGCATCGGTGTCCCAGCTCCACTTTTATTCTCCTTTTGTCCAGAATGAGCAGAGCTGCACCAGCGGCTTCCAGGGCATGAACATCCCCACCGCCTACGGAGAGCTTTGGATCCTGGGTGATGTCTTCATCCGCCAGTACTTCGCCGTCTTCGACAGGGCAAACAATCAGGTCGGCCTGGCTCCCGTGGCTTAAGCCTAAGTCTTTCCAGCCACTTCCCAGGAAGATCTGGCCTCCATCCTGTGCCCACTTTAGATGTATATAATTAATTCTCCTGACTGTCCTTCCCAGGAGAATGTGGAGGTCTTGGCCCTGTTCCCTATCCTACCAATAATGTAGAATAAAAACATAACCTCCTGAAACAGGTTTTTGGAGCTGCTTCTCTTTGCTTGTCTTTTTCCTTCACATTACGGAAGTTAGCACACCAGGGCAGGGATCAAAATGACCACATCCCAACACAGCGACCCCAGTAGCGGACCCTTCATGATAGAGTCAGGAAGACAGAGGGAGGTCAGGGGGCTGTGCTGGAAGCATCATAAAAAGACCTAGGGGCCAAATATGCTGGGCTCATTGTCTTCTCATAGAAGGGACACTGGGAGCTGAGACTGTGCATTGTACTCCAGCCTGGGTGACACAGAGACTCCATCTACAAAAAAAAAAAAAAAAAAAAA